TCATTTTCCAAATCGTTTTATATATATATATATATATATATATATATATATCTGTCCTTCTATCCATCTAACTTTTTCATATCTGCCCATTTCATTTTTAATGAATGTGGGAATTTTTTTGGTGAGATGGGACAAATGTTTTCAATGCATCTTCTGATCCATCTGAAATTTGTGAGATATTCGTTAACTTTTTTGAAAAGTCTTATAGCGCAACAAACCGATATTCATATAAGATAGAATCGTTTGACATTTTTCCAAATATTTCATTTACCAATATTTCATCTACCAAGTTTTTATTGCTATGGCTACCTTGAAATTATCATATTCTCTTTGTCCAGATGGGATAGTATCTTGTATTTTCAGAAGTTATGCTGGTATTCTATAAAAATCCTTTGATTCTCTCACTCAATGCTTGTGCTAGAAAGGGTTTCTTTTCTGACCAGTGGAAAGAATCCTGTCGATTAGGTGCTTGAAAAAATTTTGATCGCCGAAAAGTGATTAAGAATTAATTAGGAAATACCAATGTACGTAACGATTGAATTCGATGATTTCGACCTTACTCGACATAAAAAAATTAACAGTTTTCCCTTTAATATTATTGATTTATTTAGCGTGCGACGACACCAACCATGGAGTGCATAAAATTCTTCTTCTTCTTCCAAATTCATTACTTTTGTAATTTATTTGGCGTAATCTGATGTGGAAGCCGCGCATTAAACACCAATGAGGTGATACTACTCCATCGGCTGTTGTCGGTTCTGGGTTCAAGGGTTTAAAAGTGACGGCGCGACTTGTCTGAAAAGTTGTCTGAAGAAAAGGCTTTTTTTTTTTTTTGGCCACTTGTTGCAAGAGTTGCCCAGGATACACTGCTGCACCTCGAATGGGAATTTCTGCCACATCCAGCGCACTCACCAGATATGATACCTACTGATTACCATTTCTTCAGATCGGTGCAGCAAGGCTTGGCCGGTAGGCGGGTCCGTAAAGTTCAAGAAATGTGGAAATGGATTCGATGGGTGAATCGCTGCCAAACAAATACAAGGTCTTTCGACATGGTATGTTCACTATGTTCCCAAATATATTGTAAAATGCTATAGAAAATGATGGAAACTATTTTGATTAGTTGTACAATTTTCCCCAATAAAGGAATTTTTCAAGTGAGAAAACTGATCAGAATTTTTGCAAATACCTGATAATTTCCCTGCGGAAGAATGATGCTAGAAACAATGTCTGAGAACGGGCGGACTCTACCTAAACTATTTGAATTTCTTTTAAGCAATAGACTTCGACGACCATTGATGTCTGCATTATTATCCTCTCAACATGGTTTTCTTTAAAATTAAGGCAACTATGACGTAACTGCCAGAGTTTGTCCAGCCACATTTATGATGGTTTTTCGGTGGATAAGCAAATTGATGCTATTTACACTCATTTTTCCGAGGCGTCTGATAGAGATGACTCTAATACTTCACTTACATAAAGTGTGTGGCACAGATTTTCCTATTAATTTAATTGCGTGGTCTATACCTTAATGAACTGGTCGCACACAATCGTTGTTCTTTCGTTCGCAGTAGGTCACACCAGGTAGGTCCATACAAATCATATCTAGTTGCTCTAGATTTTAAATTATTTATCAACGACCAGCCAACCAACGTCTAGCTATCAATTTTTATTATAAGCGTTGATAGATCACCTTTTATTATACCGATCGAATCGATCTAAGCTTATCCTTCTCTATCTCTCTGACTTGTTTTTTTTGTCAGATATTTTGATCGGTCCACCTTTTCGGCCACACCCCTGGTAAAGCCCTATTTGGAAAAAATTGCAATTTTCAAAATTTTTGACGCTTTTCGCTAAATAATAATATTTCGGCATTCGAAATTGATGTGAAAACTTCACACCTGCCCGGACCATTTTTTGAACGTCCTCTCATATAATGAAAATTGTAGTTCATATGACAAAAAGGTCTAATTTTCAATGCTTTATCATGAAAATCAGATCGCAGCAGTCTTGATAAGATAAAAACAAATTAATTTTACCAAAGTCGGACTATTTCGGTCGGTAGGATATTTTTATATCCTACGCTATATAAAGATTTTCACGAAAATTGTTGTTTTTTACCGCAGAAAAATCGATGTTTTCTTTTATGTTACGATGAAAATTAACCCACAATAGTAATTTGATTAATTGTGCTGAAGTTCGAATGTGTCCTTCAATTTTGTGAACCTCTTGGGCACAATAATTTAATATAATAGGTAGCTCATAGTAGCGATATTAGGTAGCTCATAAAAACACGATGTAATTTTTTGTATTCTATGGCAAGAATAATAAAAATTTGTATGGTATAGGGTATTGAATAGTCGACCTATCCCGTCTATGATGTTTTCACTTGTTTTTTTTTTTTTTAACTTCTTCTTCCTTCTGTAATGCAATTGTGT